TGTAAATGAGTGAAATCAGGCACCTTCTGATTGTAATTGTATTTCTTTTGTTCTTGTTAGGAGACTTTTCATATTTTTTATGAAAACAACAATATGGAGGAATGAAGGAAGTTTTCATGTTGTGTATGTTGCACCATCCCGCTTTAGTTTTTTTTACTAGTTCTGATCTCTGTTTAGGCACCAAAACCAAAACGATCCTTTTTAATGCCTTACTTTTATATTCAGAGTTTAGTAATTGTGACTGGTGTATTTTTTACAGGTTTTTGTGGCTGTGTATCTTGGACCCTTGCATTGTTTTTCAGATTGGTTCATCTTTATACTGCTAGTATTTCCCCTTACCTTGAAATGTGCTTGGTGTTTTGTTGTTTGGTGCGAAGATGGGGGAGATGGTGGGACCCATTAATCCTGTGTAACCTGGCCTCCTTTCTAACTTTTCCAGCTCTGTTTTATCCTAAATGCATCACAATACATTTCACCTTCTGCCTCTGGCTGCAGATTATTGGCGTTTACATTGTCAAACAGCTAGCTCTGTCCAAAGGCAACACAATCTGCCTGAATCTGCAGCCCCGCTCAGCTTTATTGAGCTTTATAGTGAGATTCAGCTCATTGTTTATCTGTCCATCTACGACTATACTGTTTTGGTTCACTCTCACTGCTCTTATAGCATAATAGTCAGCACCAGAAGACATCTGTTTTTCAGAAAACTCTAAAAACCCACTGTACACCTGAGACTAGCTTTTGAAGAAAGTGCAGCATTTAGCAGCTAAAGAGCCAGTTATTTCCCTCAGGAGTTGGTAGAGACCAAAAATAGTGGACTTACTTGCTCTGTAACTACTGGATCTCTCAGTCTGACAGATTTGGTATCAGTGGACATTTTGTGTCTTCACAAGAATTTAAAATAAAGTTTTGAGAGTTTGAGTTGATAATGATGGAGCCACAGGTGGGGGGGTTCTTTTAGCTATTCGGCTTAGAGCAGCTGAATGCGTTTTATTTCTAACATTGGTACATGATCATTACAGTCTGTGGAGCGAGGGTGTAATTTACTATTGCAAAGGTGTAATCAGGAGTCGCAGCAGAAAGCGGAACTCAATTGTGTCTCGCTGCCTCGGCTCAACTGCAGTTTCTTTTTTTCTTTTCACAACATGACCGTCCTTGAAAAAAGTGTGTGACTTTACCTGTCTATATGTTTCTGTATGTTTGTGTGTGTTTGTGTGTTGAAGCCTCCCGTCTGGTTGAAACCTGCAGAGGTACTTTGAATTTATTTTCATTCACACCGGGAGGAAAAGACAGAGGAACAAATCACAGTGTGCTCAATCAGACAGAAATCCAATTCTCCTTGGAGAGAAGGTGAATGTGAACATGGCATGATGCAAATTCAGAGACTGAATATCCTGTAAATTGTTGGGTTTTTTTAGAACAAGAAAGATGGCAACTCACAGGGGTCAGTTTGACTGCAAACTCCCTGTAAACATTCACTTCAAACCAAGGATGTTCTGAGTCTTTCAGCAGTATGGTTCCTGAAAGTCAGGTTCCCAGATGGCAAAAATCAAAATTCACTAAGCTGTAGAAATAATTCAGGTTGAAGCTCCTCATTCGTGTTGGCACTGACATTGTCTCTTTTTGGTTAAAATCACAAATGTCCCAACAACAGATCATCTGTTTTCACAGATAAATAAAATATTAAAAACTTAGAAAAGAGAAACACAATGGAAAAATTTCACTTGCCTTTCAGGGCTTCTGTACACCACTATACTAATGTTTTGTTGTAGTCCAACAACATCAACAGAGCTCTATGGCACAGAGGAAAAATCAAAAATCTAAAAGTTTTTTAGCAGCATCGCTACACGTCTTATATTGTTCTTTCTTAAACTAGGCTACTCATGACAAAAGGATACATCTATGTTTCACTATGTGGTAAATATCTGTAAATGAATGCGTAGAGGAGAACATTAGTGTTCTAGGGAATTTAGTGCAACATTTTTAGTCTCACCTTTGTCAGAAAAATCTATTGGTAGTGTTTGGCAGAAATCAGCCACTGTTGATGTATTTTGTCACTCCTGTTGTTTTACTTTTCCTTATGGGATGGATATAATTCAGTTTTTTAGCATTAGGCCTATCATCCTGCATTTGCTGATGTTAACAAGAGGTTTTATGTTTGTCTTGTTTTCATTTGAGCTTATATTTCTTTTTGTTGGATGTGCACCATGAAGAGTCATGCTGCATTAGCTGCTAGCAGTCCCTGTCTGCTCTGTAACCATGGAAACAATCACTGGATTACTTTTGATGCTGAGGGAAGCGTCTCAACATGATGATAATGAGGCAACATTTGAAGTTATAGGGACTGCCTATTTTATGATTTCTAAGCTGATTCATGGCTGTTACATTAGAGGCAGCAGCACAGATTAAGTTGTGCTGATTTATTATATTTTCTGCATGTAAAAAAATTAATTGCAGCCTGTCTCACCTGAATGCATTAGGGAAAAGAGAGGCAAAAAGGCTCTGGTCTACCTGTTGCATCCTCCAAAACAAGATCGAAACTGAAACTGGGCTGCAGTTTTTATGTTGTGTGATTATATTAGTGTTCACTTTGGTCTGAGGATGACCTGAGCTCAGTATCACAGCAGCTGTTGAAGCTTGGAGTGTTGCCTCCTTTTCCTACAAAGGCGCTTCACGTGTGCTGAGACTGCAGGAGTTAAAGCAACACATTTTAAATGTTCCAAACACACCTTCACCTCCATGTTTAATCAGCTGCGAGCAGAGCGTTTAGGGATGGTCTGAATGTTGATGCTGTTTCAGAGTGATGTATGGTTCTCAGTGTAATCCAACTTGTCCTTGTCTGACTCCTCCGGCTCTTTTAGGATTCCAGCTGCAGTCAAACAGGATGGACATGAATAATTCAGGGGTGAGCAGCTCAGAGGTGCTGCAACTGCTGCTGCTTCTTCTTATGGCGAGTTTTCACCTGGAAGCAATTGAGAGCACTGCATCCACAGAGGGGACAGAAATGAAGTGTCCCTGCTCGTCCCCGGAGCTTCATGTTTTTAATCAGAGTCTCGGGGCCTTCAGGAGAACATGTCCGCACTCTATGAGATGCTGATTCTCTATGTTAGGTGGAGCTACTGTCAAATGAAAGTGTAGAGTAGTTCTGCCTTTAAAAAAACAAACAAAAAACAAAAACACCTTAAAACATCACATCAATTCAGAATTAAGAAACTTGTAGGGGTCTCCAGATAGCTCACCTGGTAGAGCTGGTGTCCACCATACAAGTCCTTGCTGCATGTCATCCCCTCTCTAACTCTCTCATTTTCTTCAGCTGTCACTATCAACTAAAGGCAATAAAAGCCCCCCCAAAAAACAATCTTTATATACTTGCTGGTGACAGTGCAGCTAAAATGTAAAGTTAACCTTGCTTAATCAGTTACAGCTCCATTAATTGAATAAATCTTCACTGCTCCCACCTTCTGTCTGCTGTTTGCTGCGGAGCAAGTCGTGTACAGTGGGTGTTTATATCTTTACCTCTGAAAACAGCTGCCTGCTGCGGCCGAAACCAACGCTTTGAGAATGGTGAGAGTGAACCAAAACAGAAATTGATTGTGGGCAGGACAGCTAAACACTGAGCTGAAGCTTCGTAAAGCTGAGGGGGGTTGCAGAAATTAGGTGATGAGTCTCTGTAAGTTCATCACTATGAGCGTCACCTTTAACATTGTCACATTGTGTTCACATTGTCATATAAATATTGATTATGGAATTGGAACAACAACATAAAAGTAAAAGAGGATAATTATGTTTACAGGGGAAGGTCTGATATGAAATGTACATATGTAATCTTTGACTGTCAATACTTCTGACTGCAGGTTCGATATCTTAAATTGTTTGTCTTGAGCTTTATTTTTTTATCCAGGAAAGGTAAAAGTGAGTGAGGAAAGCTTTCCAGTCAGTTATACCTTAATGGTGTCGGTAGAGTGGATATTTCCTCCCTCTGTGACCCTAACATGCATGCGTTGTTCTTCAAATTCCCATTCTGTCAGAGACTGTGTTCAATTTCAGTTCCAGCTCAGGAGCTTTAATTGGATAAAGGACTGGGTAGTTTTTAATTCTGTGGTCTGTGTGAGGCTCGTTTTCTCTAATGAAGCCCAGCAGAGTCCCTCCAGTCGAGATGCTCGCGGGCAGCAGCTGGAAGGAAAACATAACGCTGAGGAGACTCAAACTCAACAGCTGGAGAGGGTTTTAAATCAACCAGCCTGAACTAATCAATAACTTTACTTTTTATAATTATAATTTTTTATATATTTCATTTATAGTAGCCACTTTTTATGTATTCCTTCCATTCGATAGTCTTGCTGTTGTTTGCAGCATAGCTGTATGTCTGATGTTTATATTTTAACCTGTATAGTAAGCAGAGACTCTGAGAGACTGATGTGCACTAACCTGCAGTTGTTGTCATTGTACATATTTTCTTCCTGTATATACTGATAACTGTGTGTGGCGAGAATAACAATGAATTTATTTCTCATGCATTGTATTTCCATTTTCTTCTCTACACTGCATTTATTTGATATGTAACTTTATTTAATAGTTAGATTGAAATTACTACTATAAAATATAATCAACAAGTCAATTCACATCAACAAATAAGAAAAGATCCCTGAGGGGAATAAACACGTTACCCAGCAGTATAAAAAAAGTCATTTCAATCAGCCCAGCCTTTACAGTCTGCAACAATAAAATGATGCTTACACAGGAATGCATCAGTAATTATAATATACATTTGAGTACTTCTGCTTTTGGGACCTCAAGTCTATTGTGATGCTGATGCTTTTGTATTTTTAGTACAATAGATGTAGGTATACATACAAATATATATATATATCTTATTTACTTTCACATGAAGCACAGTGGGCTCATGCAGCTGAATGTTTGCTCATTTCCACTCTGCTCAGATGAGCTGATGCTGTGATTGGTTGTGACATATTCTCCTAATGCTGCTTCTTTCTGTCCTCCAGGTCTCCTGACAGCGGCGGCAATGACTGATGCTCCCTAGAGAAAGACTGGTTTCCATTTTCCATCGCCCATCATCGCCACGCGGAGCATTCGCCGCAGCTACAGATGACCAACCATAAGCCGCCATCACAGCCGCGAGGCGTTGGCACTTCCTGTTTCATGCTTGGGTGACCAGTGCAGTTGTTTTCTGGGAAGAAAGTGACTCTGTTTATTTTCCCGGAGATTTGAAAAAGCGGATTATGACAAGCTGCTGGATCGATTTCTTTTGGCACAAAACTCTGTTTCGTTTTTACAGACCAAAGATGAACAGAGCCAACAATGACACGTTTTTAGAGGGACGGAGACTTTCAGAAGCCCCCCTCCCCACACACATACCACCATATCCATGTAAAGAAATGATGTGTTCATTTTCATATTATTATAAAGTAAGTGACTTAATGGAGCAAAGTAAAATTGTAAATGAGTTATTGATAAAACATGTATCTATATGAGGAGAGATGTGCTGAACACCAGTTAGGTGGAGAAAGTGAGAAAACATTTCTATGATTACAAAAAACTTTGTGCACTTTTAGCAGACACCTGAAGATTAGAGGAGACTGTCAGTCAACCAGGGCAGGAAGAACATCCAACATAGTAACCAGATTGTACTTTTATAGAAAACCTACATAAATCAAATGTTCACACAGTTACACATTCAACACAGACACCAAATTGGCATCAGAGAATAAAATTTATTATAACACTATTTTATTTTAAACCTCTTTGGCTCCATTTTGATGTTATTTTAAACACGAAAATTGTTTGGTTTTGCATAGTTCACTAAGGATGCTTTCATACTAACAGTCAGTTTTAATTATACTGTTATACTGGTTAGCTGAAAGCAGAACAACAGATGAGTGAACCACTGAATTAAACAGCCACAATATGAGACATCATCCTGATGACTGAATTTATAAATATAAATAACAGATATGTTTATTTGTGCTAGCAGCATGGCTTCAGTAATGCTGGCCTGTCAGTCGGTCCACCACTTTGGTACGGATGAAGTTTGGTACAGATATTCATGGTGCCCTGAGAATGAATCTGATGGACTCACTTTCCATCTAGTGCTACCATGAGGTTGACATTAATGTTCTCATCGGGATGATCTGCGATAACTTTGGTGATCACTTAACTTTTCATTATCATCATTATCAGGTCCAATACAAGGTAAACTATGTACTTGCTGTATGGATTTATACTCTTTGTGTCGTTGGTAATTCAATGATTTATGCCACCTCTGATGAGTTGATATAATTATCAGCATGCTGTTGCAATACGGCGCCTCCCAGTGAACAGACCACATTCACACTACATGCAACTTTAAAATACTCTCCATGATGTTTGGAATCAGTGTGCAAAGTTTCCACTTTCTATCATAAAAACTGCAGAATGCTAAATGATTTCTGGATCTTCTCCACCAGACATTAAATCAGATTTTACATTATTCAGTGCCATGTTTGGACAACAAGCGGTCATGGCGTGGTAGGTTTTAATGAAACAACAAGTGAACCGTTTCACACTAGAGGCCGAGCTGTCATGTCTGTTTGGGGGGAAAGAAGCATTAAATGTATTTTCAAAAGCCTAAAGTTCTATATTTAACAATTTTATATGTTGTATCTTTGTAGAAAACTTTATTTAACACTCATTTTGCTTCTCATAAACTGGATTGACAGCCAGCTACAGAACTTCGTTGCTGTTCAAAGCCACGCTTACAGTTTTTGACAGAGGTCTGTTCCTCAGCAGAAATGGAGGAAGAGCTTTAATGCCACTTTCTGATAAATGTCCCTCAAAGCATTTATAAGTTGTAACTAATGCTTTATCAATTGTTAACAAATAAACTATTAATGCTTTATGGATGTCAGGTGAAAGGAGGATACACCAGACAAGAATAAGGATTTTTTTAAAACTGTAAAGTATTAGTAAATAATTAATTAACATCAGTTAAGATTAGATACAACTTATACCTGTTTTATGAGAAAGTGGAATTGAGTTTTCCTTCAGTTATTGTGGGTGCAACAAATCCCAAAATCTGTCTGTAGGTCATTGCCTTATTCATCTCGGTCTCCATCAAGCGGAGGAGATTAACTCACCGCCTCTGTTTTGATGCTCTACCATTATTAACCATATTTTTCATTAAACAGAAAACACAAGTTCATCTGTCTTTCATCTCCAAAGTTTTCTTCTAATGAAACATTAAAGAGTATTGTGTGGAACACAAGAGGGGGTAAGAAGCCTAAAGCTGTCTTCAGTGGGGGTTGTGTTAACTGTATTCATGAGAGGAACACAATAATGTGGTAATCAAGACTTTGTTAAACTGAATATTTGATTGCTCTGAGTTCACAATTTCACAGTGTCATTTACTATTTATGAAAAAGGAACAAGGCAACATACATTTTTTGTCATTCACCTAGAAACAGTGTTCCCACAGCCTCAACCAGTTTACCATCCCACATTGTTGACTGCTGCAGGTATGACTTATTTTTATAGGCCAACCCAGAAGTTAGCATCGCCCTGGTTCCTTTGTCAGAAAGTCGATGGGATTTTTCCATTGTTTTTGATTATTGCAGAAAATAAGCTCTGTGGCGAAACAAGGTTCATGATACACGTTTTGTTCAGCAAGATAATCTTAAAAAACGACACTTTTATGAACTCTGAAACGTAAATGTGATTGCCAGAAGTTAAAAGCTAGTGTTAGGCTATAAATAAACCCCTAAAGTTGTAATTAAAATCTACAAGGTGGAAAGTTTGAGCTAGAATAGTTTGCAAGAGTGTGAGTACAAAAACAACAAGGCTGTCAAGGCGGACTAGTGAGGAGCTAAGTCTCCATGTTCGTGCTGATGTTTAATGTCAACGGCAACCTCTGTAGTCTCATTTAGCCATTTGTTGGCAACCGCCTTTTTCAAAACACTTAAAAGCTTTAAAATTCATGGGTGAGGTATTTACTGCAGGTATTTCTCTTTAAGTTTGTGTGAACCACGTATCTTATTTCAGCCATCTTAGCAAAAACCCATTCAAGACACCCATTGACTTTGAGGCAAGGAAACCGGAAGTGCAAAAATACTCAAGTCCATTGAAGGCAGCATTAATCAAGGTATTATTTCAGGTTCCCTACACGCTACAGAAATACCTACAGCGCCACTGACGGCAGCGGCAGTATGTGACGACTTGAGTGTAAGACCGGGTTGGAATTTGAGATGTCAGTTGAAGTTGAAGTGCTGCAAATAGTTGAAATGTCAATTAAAGTTTGAGTAAAACAAGGAGCCAAAAGTGTCAGTTTAAATTCCACTGATGCCGAATGAAGTTGATGTGTGATTTAAGTGCAAAGATATAAACGGTGCAGGAGTTGTCAGTTTAAATGTAAGTGATGAGTGAAGTTTAGTTTACTGAGTGTGGCAAGCTCACTTACTTTAATAAAGAAAATAAACTCACCAAATGTAAAGAAACAAAAGGAAAAACACCTATTTTCTGCATTAAACAGAAAATACAACTTCTAAATTAAAGTTTCTCTGTTATATCAAACTAAGACCTTGTTTAGCAATCTAAAAACACTTCACTCAAACAGAAACAAAATGAAACTGACCAAACTGTCTTTAGTCTTTAAAATGAAAAGTCCTTTTTTAAGTTAGCTTAAATTGTTAAATTTTTTGAGAGGAGATTTTTTTTAACAACATGAACAAATGTGTTTGGAATATCTAAACTTCTTTAGTAAGAAGAACTCTGAAAAAAGCTCAAAATAAACTGTGACTAATGAAAAACAATAAAGCTATTAAAAGCTAAACTAATGTGGTTGCAAAAAAAATAATTAAGATTTAACCTTGAGATAACGTTCTGAGATAATGTCATAAGAACCAAATCTACCTACGGGTGCAAATAAAGTAACCTAAACCTGTGAAGTGCCTCGATATCCTCAGATAATGAGATCATTATTTGATATCTAAACAATGTAATTAAGCCCTGACCTCCAGATAAATCCGACAAGCAGATAGCAATTCCGGGGGGGTTGCAGTGTAGAGGTGGTTCTGTGGATGTACAGATAAACACAATTGTGTCCCTGTCTGTAAACAGGTGATATCTATCCACAGCTGATTCCTTAGGACCTCAGACAGCTGTTACAGACTCAGTCGTCTCCCTGTCATACAGAGGCCTTCAGACATTTTCCTGCTGAATTCGCCGAGTGAATGTGTCAGTTTTCAGGCATCAGATGAACTAAAAATACTGAGCAGAATGTAGGCTGAGCTCTCTGAGGCTTCACTGCTCTTACATTATCCTCTTTTATTTATTAACTTTATATTCTGGCCTACTTCTTCCTCTCAGCACTATTAGCCCACTTTTACTCACAGCACAGGAAATCACCAGAAATCTGTTCATCCTCTACTTTAACGGTTTATCAAAATCAGGATCAGTGAGAGCCGCCAGGAAGTCATCACTGTGCCTTTAAAGTTCATTTAGAGCAGCAGCTGAATGACACTTTATAAATTCATTTTGTCACGTCTTTCGTAGGAATCCCGTGAACCCAAATGTCCAGACTACCCTGCACCTGCAGACCTGTGAACTGAACAGGCACGCTCCTTCATCAGCCTTTCTGCAGACTTCACCAGACTTCATTCGGAAGACAACCCACAGTTTATAGCAGTATGGATGTGAAATTACAAAAGAAAGTAATAATAATCAGGATCATAATCCGTCTATAAGGTATATGTTAAGAATGGTTATGTGGTGAAACAGTCACAAGTTGTCAGAAGGCAGGTACATACTCATTTTGTTGGGACTGTGAGAATGAAAACCCTGCAACAGTCCCATCGGATGTCTATGTGTGTTTGTGTTCAGCTCAACCTCTGACTGAACTCAAAACTCGGGTTCTTTCTGTTTCTTCCCTCCAGCTCATTTTACCCTTCATCTCTGAGCATTTATGAAGCTGATTCATTCGCCTGAGATAGGCGCAAATGTTTTTCTCTAGGCCCGGAAAATGTGTGTCTGAACGCGTCTCTCCATTGACATTTTATGATCTTGTTGCGTGCCCCCAGTTACACCCAGCAACAAACCATTACCAGCAGAACCTGGGCCATGACAATGGTCAAGAAGATGGAAAATAGTGAAGTTTTAATTCTCACACAGCATTTTACACAACTCAGCGCCCTCACAGACTCGATGATGATAACGATGAGCACATTGCAGTTCGTACGGATAAAGGTCATAAGGAGGGTCGACATTTTGATTGAGTCATACTTTTTCTGTCAGAAACCAGCGAGAGACAATTAAGAACAATTAGTTGGTTAATCAGTTAGTCAAGCCACAGAAAATTAATTATCAGCCACAAATTTGATAATTAATTAATGTTTAGTCAAGCAAAACTTCAGACGGTTCTCTGGTTGAGCGAGTCTCCAATGTGAAGATCTGCTGCTTTCTCTGTTCCATAACGTTGTAAACTTGGGGTATTTTGGTTGTCCAAAACACTTGTAAGAAATCACCATGGAGTCTGGGGAACTGAGATATTTTGTAGACCTCATTTGAGTTTCAATTTAATTAACAGATTAATCAATAATGAAATTAGTTGCCAGAAAAATATTAGATTATATATAATTTATTCTCAGATACATGAGTCAATATACTGTGTTAATCACAGTGTCTCCATTGATGTAATGCAGAATTTGAACAGGAATACCCCCCCGCCCACCTTTGTCCTCATGGCTGCAGGGAGTTGAGCTGATGTCAGCCAGCCGTCAGGCTCCATTTAACATCACTAACAACCTGAATACAGAAACACCTTTTATTACACCTGTGCTACTGGGACCCCCAGTGTGTGTGTGTGTGTGTGTGTTTGTGTGTGTTTAACAGAGAAAATGCTGCAGATGAATTAATAATGAAAAATGACTGAGTTGCACTTTGTCTGACTGCTTATGTTTCTTTACCTGTAAGACTTTTCAGTGACTTCGTCATGTTCCTGTTTCTATTAAAGCATTGTCACACCACAAGCTCACCACTACCACACTTGCCAACTAGGAAAATGCTAGCACTGATCAATTATAATTTTGTTCACCAATGGAAAAAATGTTCACACAACGTGTAATGTATAGTGTTAACAGTCACTTAAATATTAACTCGCCACAAACTCGCTCCTCTTTCTACCTTTCATTCCTCTCCGATCCCTGAACTCGCTGTCTTTATCCCCAGAGTTATTGTTCCAGTTGGAGCCGCTGTAAATCAGCTGTCCTACATTGAGGCTGTGAGCCGCTGGGTCCCCCGCTCCTACGCTGTCCTTTAAGCTCCCAGTTCGGGTATATACACCTAACAGGACCACTAAGTAGCTAGGGGTAGCAGCTAGTACAGTAAGCATATACACCGATCAGCCATACCATTATGAATTGAACAGTACAAATTGGCATGTCAAAATTAAACTAATTTCTATTTCTACCAAAACTGTTTTAGTTACTTTATTTTTCATGTTGTGTGTTTCCCGCCAGTTTTAATTGTCTGCCCCGCCCTGATTAGGTTAATCTGTCTCTCGTTGTCTTACCCTCACCCTTGTGTTTGTCCCTTGCAGTTATCAAATCATCTGTGTCTGTTCCCCCAGTGTCTCTTTGATAGAAATAATGGACAAAACTACAACAATAAAATCCAAGTTGTAATAACAAAAAAGTATTTGCTGTAGTAAATATCGGCCTATGTCAGTTTACACTTTGATTTAAAGTACAAGATCATTGACACAGCTGCTTTTTCTCACCACAAACACATTGGAGCCTCGCAGTGTAAACTATCTAAGCCTGTGTACCAGTCTGTGAATTTTAAAACCAGACTTGGCAAACCTTAGCAGAGCTCTATTAAGACCTGCCAGCCTCACTGACATGATGCCATTAAAATGTGACCTGTGTTGAGAGAGGCTTGGTTTTCCGTGTGTGTCCTCACATTTGATATTCCAGAAGTGTTTTCTGGAGTAAAGACCAGTGTGGGAATCTGGAACAGCCACTGAGCCACTCAGCTTTAGTGAGAGAAAAACAAAATGAAGACTCTTATTCTGAAAATCTGATGTCTGACATTTTAGTCATGCTAGCAACAATGTTCTTCCACCACTTTGATCTAAACTGAAGATCTCAATATTGGATTGATTGCTGTTAAATCTTATATAGACACTAATATTTCCCAGAGGATTAAGCCCAG